TTCATCCTAACAATATGCCCAAAGTATGTGAGACAAAGCTTCGCTATTCTAGCCTTAAAGGAGTACACTGGTTACATTTTCTCCAAGACATGTGTTCTTTTGGCAGTCCATGAGATATTCAGTACTTTTCTCTAACATCACAACTTAAAGACATCAGTTCTTTTGTCGTCTTTTCTCATTGTTTAACTCTCAGATTCATAATAGGTGATTGGAAAGAATACAGTTTAGATCAGGAGCACCTTAGTCTTAAACTGATGTCATTGCTCTTCAGGCCTTTTAAAAGTTCTCCAACTGCAAACTTTCCCAATACTATACATCTCTTGATCTTCTGACTACTAGTATCAAGGGTGCTGATTGTAGATCAAAATAAGATGAAATCATCGACAAAATCTTTTCTCCATTATCACAATGTTGCTGACTGGTCCAGTGGTGAAGATGTTTGGTTTTCTGATGTTAAGATGTAATTCATATTGAAGGCTGCCATTCACAGCAAGTGTTTAAGTCTTCTTGGCTTACAGCTAGCAAGTTCTTGTCATCTGAGTAATGCAGGTTGTTGATGAATCTTCCTCCACTCCTGATGCCACATTCTTTTTCATAAAGTCCAGCTTCTTGAAGGATTTGTTCAGCTTTTGTTAGTCAGTTAATATCTACTTACTTGAGCACATCTCACATAATTCATTCTACTTGGATTTTATAAAACTTTCACTCCTGTATTTCTGTATTTTATGTTTTATGAGTCAATGCTTTATTGATTTTTTAAAATAAATATTCATTTTATACTGGTTTACTTACAAAGTTTGTATACATTGTTTGTTACACTGGATACTTCCCCTTTCCTTTACCCACTTCTCCTTCGACCCATCAAATTGGGTGACACTATGATTAAACCCACCCTACACACCCCACCTATCCTCACCCGTATTCTCCCATCCTTCCCCCCTTGGATCCTCATATATGTTCTAAAAGAATAGTCTTATACAGTATTTCTCCTAATGTGACTGAGTTATTTCACTTAGCATAATGCTCTCCAGTCCTTCCCAATTTAAATAGTGATTTACGAAATCATTGCTCCTATGTGCTGCATAGTATTCCGTTGCGTTAATATACCATAATTTCTCAATATATTCCATTGTGCTTAAACATTTGAGCTGTTTCCTTGTTCTTGAAATGGTGAATAATGCTGCTATAAACATTGGTGTACAAATGTCAGTTTGTGCCTCAGTTCTCATTTTCTCAGGAATAGCAATGGAATAGCTGGGTAATATGGAATTTCTATTTCAGGATTTATGATATGCCAAACTGCCTTCTGGGGTAATAAACCATTTTACAATCCCACTAACAGCGTATAAGCATTCCTATCTTGCCACATCCTCTCCAACATTTATGACTTGATGTGCTGTTAAACTTTGCCATTGCTACTGAAATGAGATGGTATTTCATTGTAATTTTTATCTTATCTTTCTTATTTCCAGTGATTTTGAGCATTTTTTCATGTGTATCTTGGCCTCTTGAATGTCTTCCTCTTTGAAAATTCTTTCCATGTCTTTTGCCCATTTTGTAATTGTGTTATCTTTCCCCCTTCTTCTTGTGGAAGCCCTGTAGGATTCTGTAAGCTTTTGAATGAGACCCTTGTCTGTAATGGTACTGCTAAATAGTTTTCCCCAATCAATAGGTTTTCTTTTCACATTGACAGGGATTTAATCTTCAGAAAGTCCTAATATGTCAATTTTATCCCCTCCATATAATGCATTTCTGTCTGTATTTGGCAGTCTCTTTATTCCACAGACTAGACTGTCTAAGCTTGACCCCAGTTTTTCTCTGATGAACATTATGGTTTGGAGCTTTATTCTCAAGTCTCTGATCCACTTTTAATTGACTTTTGTGTATGGTGTGAGATGTGGATCCTATTTTAGCTTTCTGCAGAGAGCAGTTCAGATATGACAGCACCGTTTGCTGAAGAGATTGTCGTTTCCCCATTTAATAAGTTTTATTTCTTTGTTTAATATCAGTTGAACATAGATAGTTGAGTCTATTTCTAGGTTCTCAATTCTGGTCTATGTGCTTGACATTGTACCAGTACCATGCTACTTTGGTTACTACCACTATGTAGTAGGTTTTGCGATCAGGGAGTGCTGTGCCTCCTACTTCATTTTTGTTTTTAAGAAGTGCTTTGTTTACTTTCAGTTTCTTTCCTCTCCAAATAACTTGACAATTTCCCTTTTGATCTCCTTAAAAAATGAATTTGGTACCTGGATTGGGATTGCATTGAAGATGTGAGTTGCTTTTGGTAGAATTGTCATTTTTACAATAGTAAGTCTTCCTAAACATGAACAGAGCACATTTCTCCATTTCTTTAGGTCTTTTATTGTATCTTGCAAAAATGTTCTATAATTTCTTTGTACAGGTCTTTTGTGTCTCTAATTAGGTAAATTCCCAAGTATCTCAATTTGTGGTTGGCTATGCTATGGCTTTTTTGGTCTACTTCTCTGAGTTCTCTTTGTTACTGCAGAGGAATCCTACTGATTTTTGGATGCCGATCTTATATCCTGCCACTCTACTAAATAAGTCTACTAACAGTTTTTTGTTGAATCCTTGGGGCTTTCTCTGTACAGTATCAGATCATCTGCATCGAGCAATAATTTAATCATCTCTTTGCCAATCTGGATGCCCTTTATTTCCTTACTTGTCAATATTTCTCTAGCAAGCACTTCCAGTACAATATTGATTAGAAGTAGTGATGGTGGGCATTGTTGTCTGGTCCTTGTTCTTAAGGAAAATGCTTTTTGTCTTTCCCCATTGAGAATAATATTGACTCTTGGTTTTGCATATATCCTTTTCACTATGTTGAGAAAATTCCATTCTATTCCAATTTTGTTGAGTGTCTTTATAAGGAAGACGTGTTGTGTTTTGTCAAATGTCTTTTGTGCGTTAATTACTAAGAACATATTTTTCTAGTTATTTGCTTTGTTAATATCTTTATTAATTTAAAATTTTTTTTCTCTCATATAAATATCTTGAAATGTTATTGAAAATTACTGATCATGGCTCATGGAATTTTTCAGCTTTTATTCATGTATACCTATTATATATACTATATACGGAACACTGGACTACTAAAATAGCCATGTTCTAATCCCCAAAACTTAGAAGTGTGTCTCTTAAATAATGTGTAAACGCTTTTTACACTTAGTGATTTGTAGGCCAAGGAAGCTAAATTTATATTGAAGAATTACAGAGAGAGTGCAATATTGAGCTCTAGAAATTTACAAACGTCTCTATTTGTGTCTTTGGTCGGTACTTAATTGTACAGGGCTAGGCTGCAATTCCAAGACATTGTATAATTTCCAGTGAGTTGTATAGATGGATAATCACAAGGTTTCACAGAAATCTGAGGAGTGTCATCATTTATAGTAATTTCTGAAGGAAATTTTTTTCAAATTTTGAGCCATTCATCATGCACATAACTTTCAGGAGTATAATCTTTTATAACTGCAGATTTTGGCTATTTACTGAACCCGAACATATGAATTTAAAATTAACACATTAGGAAAATATTAAAAAACTGTCTTGGCCCTAAGACATTTCATTATTATTGGACTTATTTTTACTTATAGACTTTAGTTTTATAATAATTTAATGTATCACAACTGGATAATGTTAATATAAATATTAAAGTAGGGCTACTTTAACATAAGAGCTCCATATTTAAAGGGTTTAACATTTGGTTTGTGTAGACAGGCAAACTGCATCCTTAGTACATTCACTTAAACATAAAACTAAAAGGAAAACACAGTATGATAGGAATATGAGTATGTGACAAATATATATGTAACATGACAATTGATATAGTCTTTTGAAAATTATGAAGAATAGTAGGATCTAAGAGGAATGTATCATTACTTACTATCACGGATGCATGTCGGAGGAGAGGACCAGCCATCTTCTGTACAAGAAATGTTGTTCCCACTATTTGAAAGACTATAGCCTGTGTTACAGTAAATAATTACATTATCACCTTCCACGTATGTTTGTCCTGATGATGCAGATTGACCATTCTCCACGGAAGGAAAGAAACATAGTCCTAGGGAACAAAGAAAGAGCTCTTGTGGCATAGTCTGTAAAGAATGGCACTGCTATCTAAACATTGCAGTGGTTTAGGTGTTTAATTCCATGAAGCAGAGAGTCAGCTATGAGTCAAAGTCACCTCCACAGCAAAGAGATCATGATAGATATAGAAGTAGAGAGAGAGGTAAAGATAGAGAAACAGATCTATTATTTTAAAAGATGGAAATGGAAAAATACGAAAAACTAAAATTTTGTTTTCATCTCATTGCCATAGAGTTGGAACTGAGCCATAGCTAATACTCCACTGGGTTTCTGAGACTACAAGTTGTACAGGAGAAGATTGCCCATCTTTCCCCCAAAAGAGCCATTGATGAATTCAAACCACCAGAGAAGACTGACTTTTGGAAAGCTTAATTCCCTATAAATGAAACCACTAGAACACCTAGTTTGGAAAAGAATAGAAAAATTCTGAAATTTAAATTAAGAATAAAAATATTTTTCAAAATCATCTAAGTCATGTTATTATGCATCTATAAACATTTAATTACACAATGTGATTTTATATTTAGAATTCATAATTTAGGATGTATTGATGCTACAATGAATGACTTATATTCATGTGTTTTTGTGGAATTTTTTGGTACATCTCCTCGTTAATAATACTTGCTGCCCACTGTGATGAACTTGCAATCTGCTAATGAAATCATTCTCAGATGTTCCCTTGTTCACTGTTATGATTGACTATTCAAAACACATACATTAACATATTGGGACATAATGGTTTTTAAAGAGGAAAAGAAATGCTGAAGATTAAATAATGAGGGAATGGAAAGTTAGAAGTTTAAAAAAATTTCAGAGTGAAAAATTAGCTGAAGTTTTATTTTCTACAGTAAGTCAGGCATTTCTTTGCTTGAAAACATTCCTTATGCTAATAATTTTACTATAGCTGGTAAATAGATTTGAGAAGTAAAGAGATGTTTCCACAAACTCTAGGAAGGAAAAATACTTATTATCTAACTAGAATTATCTTCATCCCTAGGAATAATCTATGAATTACAATATTCCACAAACAGAGTTTTTCCTGAAGCTGACAAATATGTCAATGTTATTCAAAGTTTTCTACTTTGAACATGTTATAAGGAGAAGACAGTCCTCAGAAGGCGACATCATGCTTGAAAAGATGGAGTGGGAAGGAAGACCTTCAGTGAAATGCATTGATGCAGTGGCTGCAACAGTGGATTTAAGCACAGGAGAAATAGTGAGACTAGTACAGGATCAACAAAGGTTTGATGTATTATTCATGGAATTACTATGAGTTAGTGTTGGCTCAGTGGCATCTAATAGCAAAAGTGCATTTTTAAGTGTATTTATGTGTTAAAATATGTCTGTAAGTATATATTCAATGTTTCTAAACTCCCAAAGCCAAAGACAGATGATCAGATTTTATTGAAATATTTGCAGTAAAAAACAAGAATAATGCAAACTTTAAAAAAGAGAATTCAACTTAGGTTAGATCTGATTTCATTGGAATTACAGTAACAAAATCTTGTAAATAGAGACTACCTGAAAATATGTATATTGAATTAATAGTTTATACAATTGTCTTTGATTATGTAATAAAAATCTTCTACATTTGTAAAGCATTTGCATATACAAAATGGTATTTTATATCTTTTTATGAGCTCATATTTTTAATAAAAGAAAAATACTATTATTATATCTTACATGCATACTGTGCTTACTGTTTTTATTTTTTTAATATTTTGTCATCCTTTGAGTTTGTTATCTACACACGTTGAAACACTAATATATATGTAAATTTGACTTCCCAAGACATTTCTTAGACAAAATATGAATTTTGAAATACTTTTACATGATATTTGTAACAGTTAAGAGAGTTTGAATGTAAATTTTTTAAAAAATGTATAAATGAAATAGGCGCTTTAAGGAAAAATATGGACATGATGCTAACGAACACTGGGAAAGAAACGTAAATACTCAAATATAAAAGTCATCAACTACTAAAATAAACACATGTCAATATGCAGAACTTAATGCAAGATAAGTTTTGGACATTTGCTCACTGAGACACTTGGGTATTGGTGACCATCCTTCTTCAGTGCAGATTATCCGAGTCCAAAAGGATTTTGAAGGAGATACAAAATTATATTCACAGGAGTAGTAGATGATTGTTCCTATAGCAACCGGAAAGGCTAGTTTGACTCTATTTTCATCATATAGAATTCCATGCTTTATCTTTGGAAAATTACAAAGTCCCACTGTGGAAAGAAAAAAAAAATTGAAGACTAAATAGTAGTTAAATAGTATTCTAAGTTATTGAACTTCATAGAACTGTAAAGTTTACTATCACAACTTACATTAACAGCATTAGGCAGTCACCATCACCTTTTACCTAACGAATTTTTTGTCACCTGAAACAGACTCAGTGCTCATTTTCAATGATTCATTGTTCCTACTTCCTTTTACCTCCAAGCAATCATTCATCTACTTCTCTCATTATTAATATCCGTACTGATACTTCACAATTAATGCCCATGGAAGTAGTTGTTAAGTGCTACCAAATTGACTCATAGTGATCCTATGAACCCAGATCTGTGCCATACCCCAGATCTCTTTGCTTCTCAAAACCATTGTGGCAGTCACTGTGTCAATGTATCTTATTTGATGTCTTCCTTTCTATTGCTGACCCTCTATCTTCGCCAGCATGATATTGCTCTCCAAAGATGGGTTCCTCCTGAAAATATGCTCAAAGGAAAGAGGAAGAAGTTTCACCATCCTTGTTTCTAAAGAGTACTTTATCTGCACTTCCTTCCTTTCCCCACAATTCAAAGGCATTCGTTCTTTTTATATCATCCTTATTTGCTGTCCAAATTCCAGATTTATAGGAAGCAACTGAAAATACATGGACTAATCACACATAATTTAGTCTTTAAACTGATATCTTTGCTCTTTAGAATTTTGGAGAGGTCTTTGATAGTAGATTTCCCTAACGCAATGGGTCTTTTGATTTCTTGAATGTTGTTACCATGGGTATTGATTATGATTCAGATAGAATAAATAGTTCAAAACTTCAATCTTTTTTTACATCTTATAATGTTACTTATTGGACCAGTGGTGAGAATGTGGGATTATTTTTTTTTTAATTTTGAGATTTAATCCATACTGAAGGCTGTTGTCTTTGATTTTCTACAGCAAATGCTTTATGTCTTTTCACTTTCAGCAAGCAAGGTTGTGCTGTCTACATAATGAAGGTTATTGATGAGTCTCCTCCAATACTGATACCACATTGCTCTCCATACTGCCCATGTTCTCATATGATTTATTCTTCAACTCCATATCTTGGAAACAGCAGTTATGAAATCAAACAGTGTAACTGACCATTTCTTGAAAAAGATCTTATCCAAATGTTAAAAAAGCAAAGATATCAGTTTGAAAACTTACCCATGTGCTTGATCCAAGCCAGAGTATTTTCAATCTCTTCATGCACACAAGAGAACTAAGCAATGAATAAAGATGATTGAAAAAGCACTGACATTTTTTAAATATGGTGCTGTCCAAAAATATTCTGAACATAGCAAGGAAAAAAGCTCCCACAAACCCAAATGTATTTTAGATGAAGTACAGCTAGAATGCTTCTTAAAAGGAAGAACGTGAGTCCTGTTTTATAACAGTGGCACCATGTAGTATTTGTCCTTTTGTGACTGAGATACTTCACTCAGCATAATGTCTTCCAGGGTCACCCATTTTGAATAATATTTCATGAGTTCCTTGTTTTTCA